CCAGTCACAGCTGTTATGTCCTTAAACTCAAGAGCAAGCCCTAGTGCTAGTGGATCAATATAATACACACCTGGCCTTCATAAGCAATTCAGGAAATCTGCACCTGAGCTCTTACAGCCAAAGCCAGACCAATAAAGGGAACCTGAGAAAACCACAAAACCTTGCTCAGATTGCACATTGAGAACCACACATGATCAGTGTCTGAGTGCACAGTGATTATTAGTTCTTTAAGATTGTTGCCCTTATTATTAAGCATCAACTATACTAAAAAGAAGGAGCCCTCATGGCAGAGTGTCTTCATGTTGGGCTTTAATCCGCAAGGTCAGCAGTTTGAAACAGCAGTTCCCTCTCCCAGGGCGAAAGATGGGGTTTTCTACTGCTGTAAAGAGTTATTGTCTTGGACACCCACAGGGATAGTTCTACATCGACTTGACAGTGAATTTGGTTTATACTAAAATGAGGGAGATCTTTGATGAGATGCATTGACACAGTGGCAGCAATAATAGGCTCAAGGATAACAATTGGGAAGATGAGGCAGGAGCTGGCAGTGCTTCATGCTATTTGTTGTACATGCTATCTGTTGCTATGATTCAGAGCCTACTTGATGGCACCTAACAACAACAGATTAATAGATCATGGAGACATCAGATTTCAGTCCAGAGCCATTGTGTGATGAATGTCTGTTTAACTGCTTGTACTTTCTCTTTCCACAAGGTGATGGTGTGTTTACCTTTTGTCTTTAGGTTAAGAACTTGAATTTCCCTACCTTAAAATATAAATGTCTGGCAGAAATTCGCCCTAAAATATTTCCTTAGTTCCCAGTCTGAGATGTCAATTGAATTAAGTCATTCTTAGACATAGCTTCAATTCAGGGCTGTGGGGCACCACCAGATTTCTCATTAGCTGAAAATGAACTTCTGGCTGTGTTAGAAACTCACTAAATCCTACATAGTCTCAATCTTTCCTTTTCTTCTACAAAAGATGATAGTTCATGTGACAGTCACATCATCTCCTGTCAATCTGAGTGAAGGGGTGGAGTCTAGCCTCTGAGTACACGCGGACTTCTCCTGGGGATTCCTGGTATCTTCCCTGGAGGCAGCAGGACACACTCTCTCTCTGCTTCTCATTCTGTTGACAAGCCACATGAAGCTATGCTGATGGCAGCCAGGGCCCTAGAGGTGGAGGGGCCACATAGTGGGCTGCACTTTTCACCCACTGGCCTGTGCTCTCCCTTCTTTCAGCCCCATTGCATGTGCTTTATTGATGCACTAGCACTGGTGCTTGCTCTCAAGTTTAAGGACATTAACAGCTGTGACTGGATAGAGACAGTCACCACGTTTAAAACCAAATTTTATATGGGCTAATATCAGACTTATGGGCTAATATCAAACATGTGGAATTGATTTAGACCGGACCAGGATGTTTTCTTAATATACAATTACTCTTGGATATAAAACTCTGTTACACACCTGTAAGTGTCTCTGGATTTGTTTCTCTGGTCAATCCAGACTAACAAAGTTCATTTTCAATGCCCAGCACTTATTTACTCAGCACAATGTTTCAGGCTCTGGTATAGGTGTTGAGGAACTTTCAAAAAGAAAACCAGAAAACAGGGGGGTGAGTGGATACAGGGAAGGGAGAGTGGGAAGCAAGGTTGGAAGAAGGCAGAGAGGCAGGCCTGAAGAAAGGGGGTGGGGCTGAGAAGGAAATAGTGACCCCTGCCTGGATAGTGATCTTGTCCAGAAAACATTATCTCTGTGTTAAATGGGGTGCACGATGGAGGGTTAAATGATCAGGATATTTTACGGGGAGATGTTTCTTATAAGTGCTTTGGAATCATTGAGCCCAATAGATTTAAGATTCTTTTATGTAGAGGGAAATTTTCTAGCGCAAAGGACTATCAACTTGTTCACTTACATGAAAATAAGACATTGCTCCAGGATTCTGAATTTAACTGCTGTTGGTATATGTGTCTCCTGCCACACTCATAAAGGTTTTGAATGTACAATAACATCGCATGTAGCTGATCCCTCCTATGGTTGGATGCATTATTTATAACTGAGTCACTTTGTACCATCGTCCTGTGTGAAAGGAGCAATAATTGGAGCTATCCATTTTTAGTTCACTGGGAAGAAGATGCTCTTCATTTTTCAGAGTGCCATTTACCTTCCACCCTTTGTGCCAGTGCTCCGATTGCTCAGCTGTGGCCCCTGCTCTGTTCCAACACACTCACATTTCAGGTCTCTGAGAAGATGCCTGTTCAAAGTGATTTATCCTAAAAGCTCATCACACACTGTGAGAGCTTCGTAGCATCCCTACAGCTTCTGCACAGATGCATGGGGCCAAACTGAAAGGCCACAATGTCTGTAATGGAATTCATTCATCTGTAAAGTGAAAATGATCAGATTGATGCTCATAAATTTTACTAAAGAGAAAAAAAAGATCGAATGGAAGGCAAAATATTTGCGTTATAGATGTTAGTGCCTGACAACCCTAGCATCAGGAGGTACTTTGAAACCACTGAATGAAATACCACCCCTCTCCACACACATACACATTTTATTCTCACAAATGGTCTATTTTGTGTTGACAAACTGCATTAGTGTGTTCACAAACATTAATCACTAGTAGTTCTCAAATTTATTTCTGTAGAAAATCTAGGAATATCTCTGCATTTTGCCTCCTCTGAGGTAGTGGTTACACACTGAGCTGCAAGCCGGAAGATCAGTGGTTCAATACCACCAGCTGCTCGGTAGGAGAAAGAAATGGCTTTCTACTCCCATGAACAGTTACAGTCTCAGACACTCACAAGAGCAGTTCTACTCTGCCTTGTAGGACTGCTGAGTTGGAATCAACTTGATGCCAGTAAGCTTGCCACCCGCTCCGCCCCGCCCTTTTAAGTGCAGTAGGTTACATGTTGGGCTGCTTAATGTAAGGTCAGCAGTTTGAAGCCAGCGGCCCATCTGCTGGAGAAAGATGAGGTTTTCTAATCCAATAAAGAGTGACCATGTCAGAAACCCAAAAGGGGCAGTTCGCCCTTGTCCTACAGGGTTGTTAGAATTGACTTGATAGCAATGACTCTGTTTTTTATTGGTTTCCCTCAGTTCTCTCTCTCTCACACAAAGGAGGCTGGAGGTCAAAGGCCATGTGAACTACATAGGAGAGCAATCCAGGAGTGAATAGACAATTTGTCTTGGGAGTACCTTGGATTGGGGATGAACGTTGGTGGCGGAGATGATGCTATAATGTGTGCACAGTTGCTAAAGTTTCAGCTCGTTTCAAACACAGCTATAGCACTTATTGAGGCCACTGCATGACTAACTACTCACTGCTTTAAATGAGTTTTGACTACAGGAATGGAGTCAGGTAAGAGGAATAAGCAGAATATGAGTTATCCAAGGGCTAATTGTGGGCATGGGTAATATAGTGCTGAACCAGGAAGGATTTACAGAATGTAAGCGTTTGGGCTGAAACTCAGATAATAAGAAAGCGTCTACAGTCAGAAACATTTCAACCAGTAAGAGGGTACTTTGGTGAGGGAATAAATGCGCTAAGCAAAGTTCCCAGAGCATCACAACAAAAACACCTTTGGCCATTTGGAGTACGCTAGGTTCTCTCTCATGGGAGCAAATCCAGATGGAAAAGCTGAAGCTAAATTTCACCTCCAACTTATTTGAATTGTATTCTGTTAACAGTGGTCCGTTTGACTTTCAGCAGAAACCGACCTCAGTAAGACATTCTTTCTTTTTCTTTCTTTCATTCCTCTCTCTTTCTTTCTTCCTTTTAAAATGGATTCTTCTGTCCATATTACCCAAATGGGATGGAATGGAAGGCGGCTCTAGCGGTCTAGCCTATCATTCCTCGCTGAGGAAGGAATTGCGCATTTGTGACACTGGATATCTCAGGGTATTTCTATGAATATTTGGGATGGTTGAGGTCAGGCTTTGGATTGGCTCCGAAATGCATGGGACATTCCCTGTGTTGAGAACAGCAAAGCTCACGGCTGCAGCGGAACTTCCAAGGCTGGAACTGCACACACCGACCCGTCCGGGGGACGGGGCCCGCGGCCTTCTCCCGTCTACCGAACGCATCTCCTTTTCTCGGTGAGAACGCGCCCCCTCTACCTGCTTATCTCACTCAGCAGCTTTCCACCCGGGAGCGGGCATCTGCAGTCAACAAAACCGAGGGGGCTTTTCCTGTTCCGCTCTCTTCAGCATCTGCGCTCCAAGTCCTTTCCACACGTTCTGCAGGGCGCCCGGATCCCGCTCCCTCCTCGGCCCCGGGGGGCACCACTAGAGCATCTTCTCCGGCCCCCTCGCCCACGTCCCACAGCTCCC